TATTGCCTTAATTTCTTTGACATATTTTAATATACACGTATATATACATTCATACAGATGTCGCAAAAAGTATTCAAGGCCGTATATATACGGCCTTGCCGCTTAGAGGGAATCTTGTACTTGTTTTTGAGGCCAGTACAAATCGTTGAGGTAGACCGATTGTATGTTCTTGCTAGGTCAACCGTGTTCATTCTCGCTCCTCAGTGATTTGGCATTTGACTTCTACGGTGATTTTGTTTTCTCTTACCCCATCGTCTCGCGGCTTTTTCTTTGGGGACATGCATGTACGAAAGCACGTTTAAACTTTGCACTAAAAAACTCACAATAATGTGTCTGAGTATAACTTTCACGAGCAACAGTAAGATGATAGATGACTGGAATGTGTTAAACACAAACTGCTGTATGTGACGTCGCAACATCTCCATGTCTCTCGTTTTGTGAAACATCGCTTGCTAAGGGAATCTTTTTTTACATTTTGCTTCGTCCGTTATGAGAATCACTCATTATGGGAGGTGTTCGTTAAGCGATGTTTGATTATATATTGGTTTGTGTGAATTTAAGAGTTCACAGGTGGGGAGTGTTGAAAAGAAAGAAACAAAGCAGATGGAGCTACTTTGCAGCGGAATGACGGTAGACAAGAAAAGTTTTGATTTATAATACAACAGGCAAACATTATAAAATATTTTACCCTCCTTCTTATCATGCCTTCGTAGTGTAGTGGTCAGCACCCTCGGCGCACATTTGAGAGGTCCGTGGTTCGATTCCCGGCGACGGAGTTGCTCATTTCTCATCTCTCCTGCTTCGACATAACCTAACGTCTCTACAACATTATGCAATGTAGTAAATGAAAGTTGATTTACCTTAGAATAGAATAAATATGAATATTATGTACCTAAAATGGTATTGTAAATGTTAAAGAATCAACTGATAGTGTGTTTATTTGATCGTTGGTGTTGTTTTCAAATGGTGTGTTCAGAAACGTTTAGATCTCTGTCTACACGAGGCGTTATGTATCCCATAGTAATTACTCCAACGTCTGCATTAATCTATATAAGCAAGGAAACATTTTTTCGGTGCAGTAGGGAACATGCATATTACCGACGCTTCCGCAAGGAAGAGTGAACACCAGTACAATGAGAAACAAGTTGCTAGTGACTTAAAATAAGCGAACAGCCAATATAATTGAGGTCAAGGAAATGGCGGCTTCTGACTCAGCATTTTGATTACTCAGTAACATATACTGCGAATTGTCTGGAGATTTTGTAATCACTTTAACTAACTTAACGAATGATGCGACATTTGTTTTGAGCAAAATTTCCGATTCATTTCCTTGTAACTGCTAATTTTTTTCACCTAGATGCAAATGAAGTGCTATTGTAAGCTATGTTATGTTGAAGAAAAAGCTGAATAAGCAGGTTCTAAATTTCAAAATGATCCTACATTCCTTAGCTTCACGAATGAAGAATTTAACAATGGGCATTGATTTGAATTCTTTAATTTTCTCTTCACTGTAACAAACATATCATACTCAGGTTTCATTTGCAAAAAACAGTTTAAAATTTTTAAATCGTAGATAGATAAACACATACGTATTACTATCACTGTTCCTAAAAGAAAGAAATCCAAGCGTTTCAAATCCGGAGAGCGTGGGTGCCAAGTAAGCGGTCCATCATACCCAGTCCATCGTTGACCAAACAACACACTCAAATTTCTCCAAACACATCTTTCATAATGGCTAAGAACAATTTCATGTTGAAACCAAATGTTACGTCTCTCATTTTGTGGCACGGACAGATAGAACCTGTTATAAAAAGATGAGATAATTTGCTGCTGCCATAGGCGATGGCAAGATGTTTAAGCAGTCGTCTGCTAAACCAGCCGAAAGAGTGCAAACAGCATTACCTAGCGGCGTACAATGATGCTTGCAGTCATCAGTCATGGGTTGTTATACAATTCTCAATCCTTTTGACGTGCCCTGCCTGCCCTTAAAGTTTACAGCAACATCTAATGAGCACCATGTGTCTCTTTCTCTCTATATATATCTATATATATGTAATAATAAAATTCCATAGTCAAGAATACACTTTAAATTCTAACTGTATGTTCTTTTCATTTTTTAATGGCGACGGTCTCTTATTTGAAAGTACGTGGAATTAAATCCACAGCCCTGTAGTCAAGTTGTTTTTCCCGCCTTTTTCTACACGTACAGTTATAGAATATTCTACAGATATTTAAAGCGAACTGGAATGGCTGACGTCATTTCTTGGAAGCTCCGTCTTTCCAGAGGCTATAAAAGGACTCTCAAAGGAATATCGGGGTCTTTTCTTTAATGTAACAATGCAATAAACTTCATACAAAAAGTTATTAGGAATTCTTTTTTATTTACTCCGGAAATATGATTTTTTGTAACTGCTATTTTTCCTGACCAATAATAAATGGATCCTGTTTTTTAAACTTATCGTCTGATAATTTAAGCTACGACTACATCTATGATTCTTCACCAATCTATTTATTCCGGACAAAAGCTGGTACATCACATATATATATCAAGAAGACTATCTGTGTGTTCGTTTGTTTGCCATTAACTCAGTCATAGAGCTATCATTAGCTATTCATACAGCTATCATCACCAAACATTCTATAATTCTTTTCTGGATCCTGGGAAAGGTCGACGTTCACTTTTCTCAACAACTACAAAAACAGCAACAAAAAAAGCTAAAATCAGGTATATCAATTAGAAACTCTGAAAACGATAATTTCCGAGTGGCAACAGTCTGGCACGCTGGAGATAAAAATCTACTTTATTTCGAGAAGTGTTGCCACTGCTCGCTTTCAAATTAATCAAAAATTAATCCACTAAAACTTTAATTTTCGTTCTAAATTTTGTCACTAAATTGGTTTTATACGTATAATGTACATTTTAACTTATTCAGAAACTTGAAATTATTTTAAAATTAGGCAACACTTAAAAATATGTAAGATATATAGATTTATAACAATTTATCCTTGTTGATATATAGCTTATATATTCAATATATAAAATATATAAGATATATACCAACAGGAATAAACTGTTGCGCTTGGTGAACATAACATCAATTTTTGATGAAACCCATTTCCATGGATTTCAAAACTTAAACAAATAAACAGTTTTAATTAAGACTTCCCAGAGTATAAACATTTATTAAGATTAGTAGAACTTTGTTTTTATTTTAGATACCATATAGTTGCTTTTCAGTGTAACTCCTAGATGATCATACTGAGAATATGAGTAGTTATGTAGAGAAAAAAAAATCTGATGTGTACACCGCATGACTTCCTTGTACGGAATATATAAATTATACGATTTTTCTTGCATTTCATTTAAAACTTATTGGATTGATTAATCTACTTCGCCGACAGCGCATAAACCACAATAGAATAAATGCTTCTTTAAAATTCACTCTAGTATTTGTTTACCATAGCGACACTCTGACGCTAGATTCTTAATAGTATTAATAATAATTATAAAGTAACTTATATAATAATTATATAACGGAAACTAAACTGTTATATAATCCAATAATTATTATAACAGTTAACTTATATATTTCGTTCATATTATAACATAATGCACAAAATTTATATCATTTAAAGATAGAATGATCTAATCGTTGCCACATGTTCTATTCAAAATACTATAATAAAGCTAGAATGATGATATATAAAAGAAATTAAGCAAACAAAACAAAAAAGTAAGTAACAGTTTTTCCAGACAGACGATTGAGTATTTCTCATTTAATTAATTCAGTTCTCACTTCGCGAGAAGACAAAAATACATTAAAAGCTCAAAATATCTTATTTAAAAATTACGAAGTGAATCTGAAACACTTATTTCCTCGAAAAAATTCCAGAAAGACTTAAGCATGATTTAATTGGCAATAATAAATGAATGCGTTATCTTTGTTGTTGCGAAGCTAAGTTTCTCTAGATTGGCAACAAATCCACTAGTCTCCTGTTTCAAATGTAAACATCAATGGCCGCCATTAAAAACAGGCTTAGCGGCACTTAAACAAATTTAAAATTGCTGATAAGTCTAAAAATATTGCATACAGATTTACTAAGGGCATAAACACCTTAACCGGAAGGTAAGAACAACATAATTCAATCATTTTTAAAGCAAAAAATGTACAATTTACAAACATATAAGAGTAAAGAAACTGAGCTCACTGAGCCGAGTAATAGAGTGGATATATATATAAATATATTTATATACGTTTGGTGGGCCGATTGCAACCCTACATGTTATAGCAGTCCTATATACAAAATTTCAACGTCCTGAGGCAACTCGTTTTTGAGTTATGCGAGATACGTACGTATGTTCGTACAGACGCCACGAAAAATTCTCTTCAGAATTAATTTTAAAGCAGTTTTTTTTTTTTTTTTTTTTTTTTTTTTTTTTTTTTTTTTTTAAGGAAAAGAGTATTTTATTCTATCCTTACGTACAGATATCACTCAAAAACAACGTTAAATTGCATTCGATAGCGGTCAAAATGGATATTTTCGTTGAAATACGCTGCCTGAAACTTTTCGCGATTACAATACTTCCTTTTTACTTCGTACAAGGAAATAAAAAATGAAGGAATTTAAATTCCTTTTTCTCAGATCGGAACAGCTTATTAATTAATCTGGAAGTTGTAAATATGATTGTTCTTATCTATAAAATTATCTTGATGAATTGTTTTCTGTATTTTGAGTTGAAAAAGATATCTTGAGGGAAGAAATTTTAAGTAATTTATTTTTATTATTTAAAATAAACTAAAATTAAAAAGAGTTTATTTATTTACTTTAACACGAGCGAAAAGTATAACTTACTGACTACAAGCAAATCAATAAAGCCTTACAGAAACATCAAATCACATTACTAAGCCTTTGCTCGCTTTCACTTGTAAGGAATCTCTACAGCTTAGCTTTTCGAAACAGTAATATTCTTTTCAAGTAGAAAGCGAGACTTTTTTCAATCCCATCCGAGTCTTAGTGCAGTTTGTTTGGCGTTATTATATGTCCGCTTGCGGTATTGAAAGCATTCTCACATAAATAACCTTTCTTGAGATTTGTGTTCCTATTTGACTGTGTCTTAGAACTTTAGAAAATTCAGTGTTCCAGTTACGTATTTCAGTTACAATACAAAGAAAGAAATTGACTGGTTGCATAAATAGTTAAGTATTATTCGAATATCTATTGACCTTCAGTTCTAATTTAGTGAGTTAGACATCGGGTGAAAAGACTACTAAAAGAAGATTTAAAAAGACAGAAGATTCAAAAAGGAGCTCGAAGAATCAATTTAGCTGTCGGATGATGTCGAAAATTCATAAAGTGGTCTCAAGAGGTCTATTTCGCAATTTCATTGGAATGCTTATACATATGAAATAGTAATCGGTCGACTTCACATACAGAGATGGTTTCAAATGTAGCGTTCTTTAGCAGGATTTGTAGGAACAGAACAATGTGTAGGAACAATGTTTTTTATCCATTGTTTAAATGTTTTCCTTTCCGAAAGGACTGTTAAACATAGCATCCAATTCAGGAGCATATTTAAATTTTTCTCAGAGTAACAGAGATAGTTTTCTCATTCAAATCCATTTAACCAGTTGAGAAGGTACATAAATTAAGTTAACATCTGTTTAAATACTGGTATTTTGCAAACAAAGGAAATAAATACACGACTCTGCATTTCCGACTTAGCATGTCTGCAACACACAAATTTATTTTAATTCCTGTGTATATATTCTACTCTGTTACTTTCAAGAAACTTGCATTCTAAGCATTTCTAAGCGCGATAGGAATTTTCAAATAAATAACATGTTTTAAAATTTTATAATAAATAAGCCATAAGATAAAATCTACATATTTTCCTTAACTATTAGCATCCGCATCTACAAGAAAATATTGTTATATTCTCTTATTTCAGTAACTGTTTTTGGAAAGGAAAACCGATGCCTAAAGTATATTCAAATGCACAGAACATAACAAATGAAAATACCTGTCGTAACATTACCATACAGAAAGTCTGTATTCTGCAAAAAATAAATACATTATAGAAAGCGAAGAAATAGAAATACATTAGCTAGTTTTAAAAAATGAAGCGATATAATAGGATTAGCTCCGGTAGTCTGTGCATAATTCCTAAAAAGGCTATCGCATGGATAATGTTATTGATGGCTGTTTTAACCATTTTGTTCTTCATATCTATTGAAGTAAGAAAAATTCTTTCCCTCGGAAGTTTAACAAGAGAAAAAATCCTTAAGCAGAATCATGGTACTTTTTCTACTAGTAACAGTGAATTTAGCTCATCTCAATATACATCAAGTGAGATTTCTGCAGAAACTGAGAAAGGTGTAATTCGATCTTTTAATTCAGTTGTTGCACTTGAACTGTTTGAAGAACAGCCTCACTGTGCCACTAAGCCTTTTCTTTTAGTACTAGTGGCATCAGCACCAGAAAATTTTGAGCGAAGAGATGCAATCCGAAAGGCATGGGTTTACTCTTTAACAAACAAAGAATGGACTTCAGAGTTAAAGACAAAAATTTTATTCCTGGTTGGTTTTTCGCCAAGCAAATTCCTCAACATTTTGCTGAAGAATGAAAATGAACAGTCAGGAGATATACTTTTGGGTAAGTGTTTTAATATTATTGTCAAATTTTCTTGAAATCCCAAGTTTCCATTGATACATATATTAATATTTTACAGAATTGAAGGTTCACTTCCTTGTACTATTGTAATCGCGAAAAATCTCGGGTATCATATTTAAACGAAAATATTTATTTTGATCGCTCTCGAATCCATTTATACGATGTTATTTCGTGACACCTGTGCGTACGGACAGAATAAAGAACTGCTTTTGTCAAAAGCAATTGTAAAATGGATTTAAAATGGATTCAAAAGAGTTTTTTTTTTCCTTTGACGTCTGTACGTACGTACATATGTATGTATCTCACATAACTGAAAAATGAGTAAGCCATAGAACGTTGAAATTAAGATTCTGTTTAGATTAGAAAAAGCTTTTCAAATTGGAAGATATTTTTAATGATTTAATTTTGTATTTTTGCCATTTTCCTACGCTTTGAGGAGCACCAGAATTTTCGGGTGAAGTATTAAAATTTAAAAATAAATTGGAATGGTTCATCAGCTCATTTACTAGGTAAAGAAAAGCAAATATTTTGTTTTGGAAGGAATATAAGGTATTTCTCCCTCCCTCTTACCATACCTCCGTGATGTAGTGATTAGCACACTCAGCTCGTATTCGAGAGGTCCATGGTTCGAGTCCTAGTAAGGGCAATGCTCATTTTTCAGGCTCAAATGCAACCGACCATTCCTCCAAGCCTGTACCAACCACGGGAAATTCCCAGCGTATTTTTTTTTTCCCTTTGAGAACATACAGACTCCCCGTGCACCACATATGTACAACACGGGGCTTACAGAAGTAAGTTAACTAGAACATTAAAGGTTACATGTATAAATAAACATTAAAAATTACATGCATAAATAAAGCGAACAAAAGCAGAGAACAGCAGTCTGGACTCCACGAAAACAGATAAGTTCACTGGCCAGTCACTCCGAGCATTTTCAAATCGTTCTGTGGAGCATAATCTAGGACCATCAAATGTAGGGCACGAGAAAATTAATGTTCCCATCCTGAGGAACTCTTTTTGACATTCAATAAATTGTTGATCGTAGATTAAAACGAAACAGATAACTTGCAAATTTACCGTGACCAGATAAAAACGAGACCACTTTAAAATTTAACAAGAAAAAGACTCGGAATTCAGTCTATGGTAAATAGAAGAGGGACTTTTGGTGACTCAGCATTACAAGATGAAATGTATTCTCATTCCACAAGCTAAAGCTTTTTATAATGAAAGGACTTCCAATAACTCTTGGAATGCTAATGTTGATATCAATGTAAATTTAAGGCATCTTTAGCTAAGAAATCAGCTCTTTCATTTCCGTAGAAACCATGATAAGCACGCACATAAGCAAAGCAGATATCAATACCTCTAATTCTAAGTGAACTAACAGTTACTAGGGTTTCGATAACTTAATTTATCGCAGCTTGTAATACTGTTCAAAAGTTTGAGAGAAGAAGAGAATCAGAACAATAAGGTACTTTGAGGTGTCCCATGACCCTGGATCCATTTGACGCAAGATAAATGCACAGATTTCTGCTTGAAAAACTGTACATTCATTCCCAGCGTATTACAGACGATTCCTCAGAGGGGCTCAACTGTTCTTGCGGTTTTCGCGGGGAAGACGCGGACGCACTTCATTACCTGCTCTCCTGCCTCTGACAGAGCACCTTCGACAGCAGTTTTCCTTCTGACTACATCAATTCTGTGTTCACGAACTATTCTGCAACACGGCATCTTAGAGATAGAAGCAAAGTGAATGAAAATAATTATATCCAAGAAACTACAGATTAATGTAAAAGGAGAAAGGCGGTCAACCGTCAGATTGCTAGCAAGACTAGGATGACTTCCTAACCCTGTAGTGCCATTAACTTAGTTTGGCGGAACAGGTTAAGTAAAGTGACTATATATCTCTACTGCTTCGAAAAATCTTAATGTCTCTACAGTGGCGCCCAAACTATATATATATTAAAAAAAAGGCGGTGAATGATGATTCTTCAACATCAGGATATGGCGATTCGGTCTCCTGATCCCCATATTTACATAATTGAAAACGCTCTTTGAAAGGAGGAGTATATAAGGTAATACATTAAAGGTACACTCAGACCCTCCTGGCCACATTCTTAGCATGCCTTCGTTGTGTAGGGGTCAACACGCGTATTCGAGAAGTCCGTGGTTCGAGTCCCAGCGAGGGCATCGCTTATTTTCCATCTCTGTTGCTTCGATTTAACCTAATGTTGCTCTGTTGCTTCGATTTAATCTCTACAGAGATTCATTGGATTCCTCTTCTTTCTTGTTCCAAATTCTGTAAATTCTGGTTTTTTTTTTTTTTTTTTTTTTTTTTTTTTTTTTTTTTTTTTTTTTTTTTTTTTTTTTGTTGTTGTTGTTGTTGTTGTTTTTGTTTGTTTTGTTTTGTTTTGTTTATTTTTATTTTTACATTTTAAAATATTCTTACTCTACATGTGTAAGATTTTATGAAGTTAACTTGAATTTCAATTTTTTGTATTTGTGAAAAATTGGTTCTAAATTTTATATGTATATATATATATGTGTGTGTGTGTAAAATATAAAAAGTACGATAGCTTTGCTCTTTGCGAATCAGCAACCTTTAATTAACTTTCTGCAATTTAGGATCTTCTCCCTAGACCAATACCTTCGAGAACATTCTAGCCTATTACATAACCGCTACTATAAATAACAAATGCGCGCCATTATGCAAACAGAAGCTCGCCTCTCCTCCTGCGCTACCAAACTTGCTTTTCTGCCTCGCTTTGTTCAAAGTGTGACGCATTAAATTTAAAGTAATCTTTTTAAGTGACGAATATTGATTTGCTTCTTGAATTGAAATAAAGCATGGAACTATAAACTTAAATTCTATTGTGCCGTTATTTAATGTTGCCTTGACACTCAGTCACAGCAATGCCTGAACTTTGATGCCAAGCTTCCTCACGACTGCTGGAAAATATCACACATATCTATATATATACATAGTCATTCTGAATTAGTCATCAATCTGCATGCAATAGTTATAGAATTATCAAAAATTTAAGAGTTTAAATGGCGAGTTAAATCTAACGAGACCTTCATTTGTTAACATTTGAGACAATTGAAGAGTAAATTAAGTCAGTTGGTGCCCCAACTTCAGTGCCTTTTTGTCCAGTGAGATCAAAAGTTAACTTTCAGTTCTGTACACCGAAAATTTTGTTTTCCTGCCTGCTGGCCGAATCGCTTGTTTTCGCGTAGAAACTCTAATTGTAATTTTAAAAAAATGTTTTTTTAACTGCTTTAACTATATTTAGTGTTTTAAGTTTTTCTATATTTTACAACTGTTAATGAAGATATTCTGATGTTTTGTATTTTGCCTTGTCGCGAAATAAGAACTGAATTGATTGCATAAAAAATATATCTGTAAAGAAATTCGAGGAAATTAGTTTAAATAAAGTGCAGCAAAAATGTGTATAATTTTATAGGCCGTAGAGGGAAGTCACGTGATGTCCACATCAGGTATTTTATCTTTTATTAATAGCAACGTGTATTGTAAATAAATAACAGCATGAGGAAAAAAAGCCTTTTTTCCAATGACAGATTTGAAGCAACGTTTTCTTGTCAAAAAGTAAAAGTTATCTCCATCATATAAACTGAAGTTTTGCTATCTGCTTAAAGCTTGATTTCGTTATTAATCGTTAAAAGTCAAATTAAAATGATCTCGTCTGATTTCTCCAGTATTTCCTTACATTGTTTACGAAGAAAATAGGTTATGATAGGAAACAAATTTCTGATTTAAATGTATTAATTTTTAAAACGAGGAAGTGACAAATTGAATATGCTGCAGATGTAATGGACTTGAGCAATATGATTCCATGAAAAAAACATAAGATGTACAACAGATTCTAAATGCAGTTGAAAATTTTAGCAAATTTTTCTTCAGTAAAAACATTTTCTCAGAACTAAATTTGATCAGAAACTTTCATAAAGGCTTTCTATGAATCGTATTTGTATATCATAATAAATCGCGTGATAAGGGAATAGAAATTTCACTCTGAGCAATTTAAAACTTGTGTAAACAATTACGTGTAAAGAATGAAGGAACTTGGATCTATTACTACTGTTAGATACGACAGTAAAGGTATACCATTTTGTCTATTCATCAACTTATTTCTACCTAAATAATATCTCAATTTAAACACAACCAATCATGATGATGGCAAGAGCTGTAATGTTTATTCTACTAACTTAATAACATTTTACAGCTGTTGCCACTCAAGCAAAACTAAAAGAAAATTAATATTACACTGGTTGAATGTATATGAACTATGCTATACTTAACATACTCCCACCTTTTGATAAAAGGATTTTTATCAAAACGAATATTTAATTAATCTAAAATATACCTTAAAATCCCATTTTGAAGTTCACTTAAAGTCTATTTAAAGTTCAAAATCCTGAATTTAGAAGGCACTTATATAGCTCGACCACTTCATAATCTAATCTATAGCACTCATCCAAATAGTCATCAAATGTTTTGCCACCTGGATCACAAACTGGTTTAGGTTTAGAAATTACTTTATGAAATAAGGATTTCTTTCTAACCTTTATCCTATAACGTTTCGAGAGCATTTGCCATAACGCCTCTTTGGGCTAAAAATATTTAAAAACAGCGTATAGAATTTATGATCGACAGTCTCGCACGCTAGAAATAAAAAAGTTTTATTCCTCCTGTATTGGCACTGCTCGCTTTGAAATCGTTAAGTTTTCTAATTAAAAATTCGTTAAAGTTTTACAAAATATGAAAAAAAATTTTTTTTAATTCAAAATTCGGCCTTCCAGGTGCCCATATTAGGGTGGAGGACTACGTTATTCAAAATTGGACGACTCTAGATATCGTTTTGTTTCATAATGCGAGAAATATACATATATTCGTACAGTTCTTTCATTATTTATTTTCTTTAAATTTATCATAGGGAGATAATATTTGGTGGCAGCAGTTT